AAAAAAAGCCTGGTCTGCAGTACAAGAGGGAAACTAAGGCATGCCACCTATAACTTAATAATTAAACAATGAAGTAATTTACTCAAACCCTCTGAAGCTAGTGTTCAAAATAAAAGCATACCATTGGGTAACAGCAGGCTGATAAAAAAGTAGCAAAAATCTGTAAAGAAAAAAAAGTGTTCTAAAATATAATGCACCACCCCAATGTGGGTAGAAATGTTTTCTTTGTCTTTCAAATCATCAAGAAGCGCTAATATCATCTAAAAATTAACCGAAGGAAAAAAAAAACCATGGTTCTGTGTCATGACATAATAAGTTTGTGTTCTGTGTTCTGTCCAGATTTGTTTTGTGTGTGTCTTAATTTTAATATATGTATTTTTAACATTGTTGTGTGTACAATATTGTTGTTTTAATAAAAGAATAATTTAAATCCCTTAAATAATCTTAACTTCGTGCTTTACACAGATGGCTTTTTTGCTTTTATAATTTTAGCAAAGTTTTAGTAGCAGGCTATGCAGTTTGTACTGTCTAGAATGTAGTAAAATCTGCTCCTCTACCTGCTGTTTTTCCCTTCTCTCCTACCATCGCCAGCTCCTTTGCCATCTCTGTCAGAACTAGCCCTCCTGCAAGACCAAGCCCCAAAATCGGAAAAGCAGGAGTGGAAACTGGCAGGGTGCACCTTGCACCCAGACCACTTGTGGTGCAACTCTGATGGCCACATTGTTGCCCCAGTGGTCTTGCTACCTCACCTTGCCTCCGTGCTCCATGAATTGTCGCACGTTGGCAAAGGGGGGATGGTAGCAATCCTTAAAACAAAATTGGTTTGCTCCCAAATTCTCCCAAGCAGCCAAAGATTACTGTCTGGCTTGCACTGTCTACCAAGCCCACAACATGGGTAAACCTGTAAAAACAGTTCCGGCAACCAGACCTCCGCCTTTAGGACCATTTCTGAATTTACAAATGGACTTTATTCAATTGCCTAAATGTCAGTCCTTTGAATATGTGCTGGTTATTGTTTGTTTGTTTTCAGGATGGGTAGAAGCTTATCCCTGCAAGAAAGCGGATGCCATCACAGTAGCTAAGAAACTTCTAAATCATTACATCCCATCATGGGGAATACCCCTGGTGATCTCCAGTGATAGAGGTACCCACTTTACTGGACAAATTGTTCAAAAACTGACAAAGTACTACTCTATCAGACAAGCACTGCACTGCCCGCGACACCCGGAGAGCGCAGGAGCAGTAGAGAGACGTAACGGGATTTTAAAGAACAAACTTGCTAAGATATGTGAGGACTCTGGTTTAACATGGGTAGAAGCACTCCCGATTGCCCTAATGAGCATGAGAGCCACTCCTAATCGGAAAACTGGACTCAGTCCACATGAGATTGCATGTGGCCGACCTATGAGACTGTTAAGCAGCCCAGACATTAACTTGGCTGATGCCATACTCATTAAAGGAAGCATAGTCAAGTATTGTCAGGAACTTATGAGGTGTGTACAGTCCTATCATTCACAGGTTAAGGACGCCTTCCAAGAATCTTATCATTAACAGGTTAAGGACGCCTTCCAGGAGGCCCCGACTGAGCCGTGCCATAAACTACATCCAGGAGACTAGGTAGGCGTGAAAGTTCACCAGGGAAAGACTGCCCTGGAACCCAGGTGGAAGGGTCCCTACCAAGTCCTTCAGACCACCCATACTGCTGTAAAGTGCGAAGGATTGCCCACCTGGATTCACGCATCCCACTGCAAACCCGTCCTGGCCCCTACAGAAGTTGGCCCCAACAAGGAGCACCGCAGACCTGGTACCAGAAACCCAGGTCCAGAAGTAGACGAGGATCAGCGCAGGCTTGGTACCGGCAATCCAAGCCCTGAAGCAGACGATCCTAAAAGACCGAGGCCAAGGTACCAGCTGCGGCCCAAAAGGACCTGCCAGCGATAGGTGAAGCAATCTACGAAGTCTTGAAGAACAGCCAGTATGAGGCTGAACAAACAATTCATGTTGAGCTTATGCTTAATCTTGTTTTTAATACCTAGTAGTTATAACCTATATGGTTCAAATGTGTTTATGCTTTTAATGAACCAAGTTTCCCAAGAATTTAATTCCACAGGTTGCTAGATATGTGCTCACAGTCCTTTACATTCAGAAGGAGGCATCCCAATGATTCCAGTCCCACTAAACAACACTCAAATATGGCACACTGTTTAGTGAACTAAGCCAAATGAAACTCGGCAAGAAAAAAAAGGTTTACTAACCCAGGGTATATCTGCCTAACCTTGACCCCAATTGAAAAGTACTGCTGAACATATAATAGTTCAAGAGCCAAGGTGGGGAAATAGCCCAAACCGAATGGCCCTAGACTATGTCCTAGCTAGTAAGGGTGGGGTTTGTGCCTTAGTGAAAAAGGAATGCTGTGTGTATATCACTGACACCAGCAAAGAAGTGAAGGAAAATGCCTCAAAAATTGAAAAAACTGTGGAACGCTTAAGGCAGGGGAAAGACTGGACCCTCTGAGATTGGCTAGAAGGCTGGTTTGGACATGTGGGAACTTGGATTTTGCAAGGTGTAGTTTTAGTATTGGCTATATTCTTTTGTGCTTATTTTTGTTTCTTGCTAATCAAATGCTGTATTTCTTGTATTCTAGAAAACAAGGGACAGACCCTCACTAAAGGGAATGTGGAAGTAATGATGTTAAAATATGATGAGCAGAGAGAGGAACAAAAAATGTATATAAAGGCTTTGATAAAAATGGAGATGTAAAACGGTTTAATGGTTAGCCTTTAAAAGGCTAAAAGGGGGGAGATTGTAGAAGCTATTTCATATTTAGCTAGAAGCCATTCTGTATAACAAAAGCCATTTCAGTTTCTTGTGTCTGCACGAGGGAGTGAACTGGCCTTCACCGAGGTGGGGAGAGACCAGAGGGATGCGCTGTTGGAATGTGTTAATGAACTATTTTGAGCTAAAGCTCGAACTCCCTTTTAACCTGTTTCTTTCTATGCTAATAATAATTCCTCTTTGAAGTTCTCTTTGATTTCTTGCCCTGACGTCAGACTTGTTTGGTTAAGGGTATAAAATACTAGGATTGATTGTATTAAGCAGCCTTACTGGGCCCAACTTTGCTGGGACCACATTTGGCTCACTTTGCTTTTATTGGCCAATAAAACTGTCTGTTTAGCCGCGTAAACTGAGTGAGGTGTTTGCTTCGACATAAGGTCTCATCCAGTAAATTAAACTTCATTCCAGCAAGGGTGCCATTTTGGGAGAATAGAGGGGGCACCAGCCATGTGTTCCAGGACATGGCTTGCTTTTCTTCCCTTTCCTCTGACTATCAGGGAGCGAGGGAAAAGTACTTGGATTCTGTGCATGCTTCTCACTCCTGGCTGATAAAGGGAGGCGGTAGAACAATAATTCACACCCTTCCACTCCTGGCACCTCTAGGTGGCAATAATTCCCCCCTCACAAGCACAGAGTTCACCAAAAGAAAAGAAAGCTTTTAGTAAAAGAGAAAAGGAACCCGGCGTTCATTTGGGAAAACACAACTGCTCTGATTCAAAAGCACAGAGCCATAAGCAATCACCTGCCCCATAGTACATTAGGCAGTACGCTTTGCCTTAATTTCACACCTTGCAGTGTGAAAGTCAGATGGACAAATGTCTCTATCACACCACTCCCCTTTCTCTTCATTGCACCCCATCCACTATTAGTTATCCTTAGTGAGCATTCTGAAGTGCATTCACATAGGGCCACTTCCCACCCCTGCAAATGGAGTGGGGGCACCATGCAATGCCTGAACTGCTGCTATTGCCTCTGCAACTGACTCACTGCTGGTGCTGCTCTCTCTACAGCTGCTGACCACTCACTACCACCACACTACCACATCAGGGCAAAGGTGTAGCCTCTAAACCTGCTCATCAATGATTTCAGTTTTAGTAACCACCGGACAGAAACAAAAACACACAACTAAGTCTAATTAGCTTTGTCTTTTAGAGAGAGGAGGGACAAATGGTGTCTAAGGCTTGGTCTACACTAGCAACGTATGTCAGTGTAACTACATGGCTCTGGGGTGTGGCACTCCTGAGTGATGTAGTTATATGAACCTAAAACCCAGTGTAGACAACACTATGTCAATGGGGAGGTTTCTATCATCAACATAGCTACGACCTCTTGGGGAAGTGAAGCACTTGCACTGAAGGGGAATGCTTTTCCTGTCAGTATAGGTAGAATCATAGAATACTAGGACTGGAAGGGACCTCAAGAGCTCATCGAGTCCAGTCCCCTGCCCTTATGGCAGGACCCAGTATTGTCTAGGCCAACCCTGATAGACATTTATCTAACCTGCTCTCAAATATCTCCAGAGATGGAGATTCTACAACCTTCCTAGGCAATTTATTCCAGTATTTAACCACCCTGACAGTTAGGAACTTTTTTCTCATGTCCAACCTAAACCTCCCTTGCTGTGCCCACTGCTTCTTGTTCTATTTTCAGAGGCCAAGATGAACAAGTTTTCTCCCTCCTTCTTGTAACACCCTTTTAGATACCTGAAAACTGCTATCATGTCCCCTCTCAACCTTCTCTTTTCCAGACTAAACAGGCCCAATTCTTTCAGTCTTCCTTCATAGGTTATGTTCGCTAGACCTTTAATCATTCTTGTTGCTCTTCTCTGGACCTTTTCCAATTTCTCCAAATCTTGTTTGAAATGTGGTGCCTAAAACTGGACACAATACTCCAACTGAGGCCTAATCAGCACAGAGTAGAGTGGAAGAATGACTGTTAACGCATCCTAGAATCATGTTTGCTTTTTTTGCAACAGTGTCACACTGTTGACTCATATTTAGCTTGTGGTCCACTATAACCCCTAGATCCCTTTCTGCCGTACTCCTTCCTAGACAGTTGCTTTCCATTCTGTATGGCTGTGTCTACACTGGCATCCCTTCCGGAAAAGGGATGCTAATGTAGCACATCACAATTGCAAATTCCGCGGGGGATTTAAATATCCCCCGCGGGATTTGCATTTACATGGCTGCCGCTTTTTTTCGGGCTGGGGGGGAAGCAGGCTTATTCTCCAGAAAATAAAGCCTTTTCCGGAGGATTTCTTATTCCTACTTTCAAGAAATCCTCCAGAAAAGGCTTTATTTTCCGGAGAATAACGTCTAGACTGGTGCTTTTCTCCGGCTTTTCCCCAAGCTGGAAAAAAGAGGCAGCCATGTAAATGCAAATCCCGCGGGGTATATTTAAATCCCCTGCGGAATTTGCAATTGCGATGTGCTACATTAGCATCCCTTTTCCGGAAGGGATGCCAGTGTAGACACCACCAATGTGTGAAACTGATTGTTCCTTCCTAAGAGGAGCACTTTGCATTTGTCCTTATTAAACTTCATCCTGTTCATCTCAGACCATTTCTCCAATTTGTCCAGATCATTTTGAATTATGACCTTATCCTCCAAAGCAGTTGCAACCCCTCCTAGCTTGGTATCATCTGCAAACTTAACAAGCATACTCTCTATGCCGATATCTAAATTGTTGATGAAGGTATTGAACAGAACTGGTCCCAAAACAGACCCCTGTGGAACCTCACTTGTTATACCTTTCCAGCAGGATTGTGAACTATTAATAACTACTCTCTGGGAACGGTTATCCAGCCAGCTATGCACTCACCTTATAGTAGCCCCATCTAAGTTGTATTTGCCTAGTTTAATGATAAGAATATCATGTGAGACCGCATCAAATGCCTTACTAAATCTAGGTATACCACATCCACCGCTTCTCCCTTAACCACAAGATTCGTTATCCTGTCATCTTCACTAAGTGCTATGTCAGTGCAGCTTTGCCACTGCTGCACCTGAAGGAGTAGACAAGTCAATAGCACTCTGTAGCCAGAATCCATGCCATCAGGCAGCAAGACCTACCCACACCCTCCCTCATCTTCAGTAGGGTTTGGCATTCTCACCGCATTTAGCAAATTAGGTTCAATTTAGGGTGACTCTCTCAATTAGGACATGCTAAGCACAATTCTGCTATGCTTTACTGATAGTTTCATTACTCTACCTGAGTCCCTGGTGCTTGTTGGAGTGCACTGGATAATGGTAAACCCACTACTTCCATTCTCCTACTGTGATCTTTTTGCAGAATGGGGGTTGTGTGGTGCAAATTACCATAATCAGGGTTTCAACAATCTGTCATATGTTTGGAGCAGTGATTGTCAGAGGCCAGAAACTGTGCTGAAAGTCAGAACTGAAGGGTCAGGAAGCAGGATTCAGAAGCAGTGGTCAGGAGTCTAAGAGCTAGATGAAAGACAACGTCTTGCCACCTGGCAAGAGAGTTAACCTTGTTCTCGGAACAAATCCTTGAATTTTTTCTGGGTTTAAATAGGATGCCTGGATCAATCAGGGACTATGAGGAAAGCTGTCAATCTGGCCTTTTAGGGTTGTACTTTCTGTGGTTATGTCCCTGGGTTTATATGAAAATGCACACAGTATAATCAGGGGTATCAGCTAGTGGCAAAGAGATATCAGCCATTTCAGACCTGAGTTCTAGTCATTGTACAACCTCACATGTGGGGCTGGAAGATACCTCAAGAGGTCATCTAGTCCATCACTCCATTCTGAGGCAGGACCAATTATATCTAAACCACTCCTGACAGGTGTCTGTCTAACTTGTACATAAAAAGTTCTTGTGACAACCTCCCCTGAAAGCCTGTTCCAATCATTCATGTTCTAACTATAAAGGATAGCTTTATATCCCTAATATCTACTTTAAATCTCTCTTGCTTCAAAGTAAGGCCATTAGTCATTTTCCTACTTTCAGAAGTCATGAAGAACAATTGATCATCAGCTTCTTTACAACAACCATTAACACATTTAAAGACTCATCAAGTTCCCCCTCAGTCTTTCTTTTTGCCAGACTAAACACAACCAGTTTTTTAACCTTTTCTTAAGATCAGGTTTTCCAAACTTCTTTTTGTTGTACACCTCTGATTCTCCAATTTGTCCACATTTTTCTTTGCGTAGTGCTCAAAATTGAAAACTACAGCAGCTGAGTAGAGTAGAATAATATACCCCTGAATTTGGATACCATACTTGTATAAAAACACACCCTCTGTCTACGTCTACACTGCAGGCTTCTTGTGCAAGAACTTTTTGCGGAAGAAATCTTCCGCAACAAGTTCTTGTGCAAGAGTGCGTCCGCACTGCCATGTGCTTTTCCACAAGAGATGTGCTTTTGCACAAAGAAGCGTCCACACTGCCATGGATGCTCTTGAGCAAGAAAGTTCTGATGGCCAATCACAGAATGGTCATCAGAACACTTGTGCTTTTTCCAATAGGGGTTTCT